ATAAGCATAGCATAAATATTTTAACTGCGAAAAGATCTCTGGAACGTCACCGAAGTGTATCTAGGAACGCATTATCTCCAGCAATGGCGGGTGTCTCGATTATGAATAGCAATATTTATCAAACAACTACGATGGAGTCTTATCGGAGTTAAGTGTTCAAAAATTTTTGTAACGCCGAGCCAACATGCTTAGAAAACCGCAAGTTACCGTGAAACGATAATCCGAAGAAGGAGAGATAATTTGTTCATTTAGCATAATCTAAAAAGAGGCGTTTCTTACAATTTCTTCCCGCTATTTTCAAATAATAATATCTGCATTTGGCTAGTATTCGATAAGAGGTTATGAGCCGCAGACACCTCGGGAATTATTTTTAGATCCAAATTTATTATAGTAGCAGCATTTAAAGCTTCACTAGTGTTAGCATCACCAGTCAACACTCGCCCTCCTGGCTGTTCGCATAATGGGGAGCGCGAGTCTGGGCCGTAGTTCGGCAACGATCCGTGAGAGGGTGCCACCGTTTACGCACAACAACTACGATCCGTGAGAGGGCGCCACCATCCGCGCACAACGCTCGCTGAAGCCTGTCAGCCGTCGGGCATTCACTTACCCCACGTGTGCCTGGCATAAGCAGTTGTTTACGTCAAATAAACCCCTTTTTACCGTTTAATTTCGGTGCAATCATTAAGTGTAACGTGCTAGAGATTCATTATCTATCAACTAGCAATAAAAGATAAATATAACCGATTATCATCGGCGTATTGATGAGATTTACAAAATTTAAGAAAAGTAGAGAAGTCAGCTGTATAAACTGAGAACAGAATAGGTCCCACCCTTTTTCAAAGCAATAGGATCTGAATGAATATTTTCTATAACTACTCTTTGGTATTTCTGACAAAGAAAATTTTTAAAAAATGAAAGAGCAGTAGCTTTTATCCTGGAGTATTTCAGTTTAGCTTTTGAGAAGGAAACGATGCAAGGTGCCGAACACTTTGCTATAGTCCAAGAGTATGAGACAAGAGTTTAGAATCTGCTGCATCATCTACATCATCAGTGACACGCAGCAAGGCAGAAATAGGGCTGTGAAGAGGTCGAAAACCCGATTGAGTGTCTGGGAGGATTTTGTTATCTCAAGGAACTGACGATGGCAATGGCTGATGGTTGGCAACAAACTGATTGTTCTTAAATCGTTAATGCCACTGGAACACATTTTTCGGAACGGGTATAACTTCAGCTTGTTTTCAAAAGTCTGGAAAAACACCAGAGATAAGACAGTTGTTAACAAGGAAAGTGATATGATCGACTAAATACGGAGTAGGCAAAAGAATCATTTTTATATCAATATTGTCTGAGCCATTATTGTTAGCTGTAATACTAATCAAAGTTTTACTAACTTAAAAAAAACGTATTAAATTGTTTATTAGTGTAATTTGCAGATACAAACCCAGGATAAATACCACCAACACCTCCAAAAGAAGTAAAAGCAAATTGAAACTATTGGGTTGGACTAAATTGTTTTCAAACATTAAAGAAGGATTACTGTGTCCTTGAAGTATCCTCAAAGTACGCTAAAAATTTCTAGAATCAGTCTTAAAAGTGCTTACAAAATTTCTCAATTCTCTATACTCGTTTAAAAACTTAACACGTTTGAATCTTAAATGTATCCTACTTTTAAGTTTTATTGAAAGTTTAGTCTTTCCGCTAAGCCAGGGTGCTGGTGGTCTTTTACTTTTAACTGTTTTTAATGGAGCATGGAGCATGGACCAAATAAATAATTCATATCATTCGTAAGGAAGTCAACGTTTATATCATCAAAAGAGTATAAAAAATCCCAGTTTATTGCACTAAGACTATTCATAAACAATTCATTACCGAATGCCGAAAAATCTCCAAAGCTCCGAAAAAGGCGATCTTTCTGCAGCTTTAGATTACATCAAACAGTATCTGAACAGTGATCTGAAGTATCGCTCATATCATGAACTTCAATCTTGTGATTAATTAGAGGTGACCATTACATCAAGAAGCGAACTAGAGTTACCAGTAAACCGAGTGAGCCCTGTAACTAGTTGATGCATGCTGAAGTTGGTGAGAGTATTTTAAAGTCGAAAATAAGCAGGAGTATCAGTTTTTAACAGATCAACATTGAAATCTCCACCAAGGACGTTTTCCAGAGAGTTAAGACATTAAAGTAAATTAAAAGTTGGAACTCTATAAACTTATCCTAAACACATCGTTTTCCCTTCGATCTTAATAGTCAACGATATTTGTTCTAAACTCTTATTAACATATTCCGATAAGGCTATATCTTTAACTTTAAATTGACGGCGATAATAAAAAGCCACCTCTCCACCACGTGTTTGACGGTCACGCCTAACAATGATATTACCATCAATGTTTAGACCACCATTAGGTACAAGAATTGAAAGCCAAGTTTCCGAAAGTAGAATAAAGCGATATATTTTTATCCAGGTGTATACCAAGTGCAAACCATAGCACTAGCGGAGTAATAAATACGTGGCAATATTTTGAAGCGGCACCTGGATCTTCTGCTTTTTCTCGTTCCGATAAAATATTTGACCGTTGGTAGGTCAGACCTGTCTATGTCCCAATTTAGCTTTAGTGGGTGCGAGTGATTTATATCTTTGGAGAGACCGATCTTCGTACACGAAGATATCTATACGTTTTAAGGCTCTTCTAGCACGAAAAACTTCGTTCTTTTTAATATTTGATATATAAGTAACCAGCACTATGGGTGGTTTTTCGGTTTCTCACCTTAAGTCTAAAAAGAGAATCTATATCGCAGAAAGAACAAAAGATTTTCAGAGTATCGTTTATAAAACACGTTATATTAGTCAGCAAATCCTCGTTCGTTTTAACTTGTAAACCATTAAAACGCAGAACGTTGCGCCTACTATGCTCCTCCAAATTGTCAAGCCTCTCTTGCAGAAGAGTTTGATCAGCGCAGTCTAAAGAGTTACTGATTTGGAACAATTTGTTATCAAGAGCTGAAAATATCGAATCGACTTTTGTTCAAGGTGCGAGATAAAATTTGCATATACCCTGGACACAATCTTTTCCATGTTCTCGTCCTCCAATTTTCTAGAACTTCCACTTCTAGTACTACCAGCCATTAATCAGGTCGACAAGTTTATTGAAATCACAGATCCACAACAAACTATGACAAACTGCGCATAACACTCCATTAGGCTTTCTAAGATTAGCGGCTAATTTTGTCACAAAAAAAACTTAGGATTTACAACAATGCATGCGCATATACACTAGCTATAACGGCGGAACAGGTAAATAATTATTAACTGGCAACAACCCCTATATTGGTTACTCCATTTCAACAAAAGTCAAACAGACAGTTAGGGAACAGAGCAATAAAACTTCTAAAGCAGGTAATTTTTAAAATTACTTTACTCGAAAAGTAGTGTGAAAGTGGAATACGGCAATATAATATTTATGTAGAGAGATTGAGGGGAAGCAAAACATTATGGTTTTTATACTGTTTAATCTTTACTAGCAAATATGAGTTAAAAAAGTCTGTAATATTCCATTCTATTACATAGAAATATTATATTATATATGGACAATAATGCCAAGATTATAGATGTCTAAACTTTATAATTTGAAATGAAAAAAGTACGTTTTTAGATGTAGGCATATTATAGTAAACGCATCATTGTCTCCTAACTAGTGTATTAAATTACTAAAATTAAATGCTAGTAGACTGTTATTTTGTAAGTCGCTATTTTTTGGGAGTGTAAGATGTAAATATCGTAACAAATCAAATTTACAATAAAAAGTTGTATTAATTACTAATACATACTATTTTAGTATTATATCAGTTGACTCTTTAGATTTCGGTGCTGTACTGTTGCCGCTTTCTACTGACTGGCCTTGGAAGTGATTTCTCTCGCTGAAAACCGGGTCTGGGATGGGAAAAGCCAGAATTTCCTGTCCTTAAAGCTCTTTCGTCCTGCGCGCAGGTAGAGATATCAATCTACCGTCTTTTCCTTGATTCCTCTCGATTTGAAGCAACCTATGAGAATCTCAATTCCATTATGCCGCAAATTGGCAAAATTTTCTAGTAATTTTTTTTCTATATTAGCAGATTTTTCTAATAATTTTTGTTGAAAATATGATTTAAATGTCGACAAATCCTAATGGCTTGTCGGGTCTTTGGCTATTTTTTAACAAAGGCATTTAAATTACTAATAATATGAAATAATATTTTAAAACTTTTTTTTAAAGTTTTAGGTTTTCTTCAGATTTATCTGTAGACAACTCAGAAACATGAAATTGGCAGTTTTGATCAACAAAGTTCAACAGTTTTTTTTTAATTCAATATTAAAAGGCATTCTTTAAATTTTTTGATCAATTAAATCTCTCGATTTTTTCTACACTTTTTGTTCACCCGGTGTTGATTTACTATTTGACGCCAATTCAGCTTACTTACAAGAACAAAAAATTTGCATGTAGATATCCACATTACACAAGGTTAACCAAAAATTCCGCAACAGCATACAAAGCTTTTATCTTAAAAATATTACAAAATATTTATAAATGATATTATAACATGAATAACAGTAACATATACAATTGGCAGTTTTATTTGGAAGAAGAAATTTATGTTGGTTTTGTGATTTTATAATGTAGTCAGAGTTGAATCAGATGTGCGTGATTATATAATTTTGCTGTTTTAGTATATTTTGAACTTCTATAGAAAGTTTCTAAAAATTTTTTGATGATAAAATTTATTGATGTAAAAAAAAACAGTCCAAGTAGCAAAAAGTATAGAGGAAAAAATATGAGTTATTTGTATTAGTGATTTGTATTTTCCCCAAATACTAGCAAAAAGTAGCAACCAGTCATTTAGTTAACTAACGCTCTCTGTTAAAGTCATACTTTAAGTTTTTTACATCCTCCAAATTTAAAATACTATTGCTTATAAAAATCGCTTCAGAAATAATAAAATGTTTTAAAATACATACCTGCAGGTTGCTCCCCCATCTTCAAGTATTACTTATCGGTAGGTGACGCAATCAATACTACTGCTCGTCAATCTAAAGATGCCAGAGGTGCCTCTCAAAATTTATCGCAAAACGATTCATCCCAAATCAGAAGGCTAGCTAGATGTTGGATGAAAGTATCTACTACAGATGAGGTAATGCTTCCAATTTTAATTTATTTCATGACGATGGTGGAATGGTCCGAGGATTTTTTAATGATTTTCTAAAAATTTCGTGAATTGGAATCATTTACTGTCTACGCAGAGGGTAGTCCAAATTGGACACTTTTAAAAGGAAACTCTTATTTCTATAGAAGACATAGAAGATAGACGAAAACTAATATCGGTGTCTGGAGCGCGATTTTTATGATACGCTTATTGGTAAAAACCGTACATGGGTGTCTAGTACCGTTCATAGTTATAGGGTGCCTGTTTTTGGAAAATGTGCATTTTTAACAAATCGTTTTTTTGTTATGGGCATTTTTTTATTTCCAAAGCAACTTTTTACGTAGAATTTAATCGTTAAGTATATTTTTTGAAAATTATATCTTTAATCATGTTATTGACGCTGAATTTAAAAGTTAAATATAATATTTTTAATAATATTAATTAGTTATCAACTGAAAAATGGATTTTTGAATATGCGAAGTCGATGTAAATATTTGGATCATTGTAACGAAATTAAAACTTAAATATAGCATACTTGATATTTTGGTCCAGTTTTCATGTAAAAAATAGAAGTTTTCAACACGTAAGCTTTGGACAGTACCGGCGTAATACAAAAGACGAATGCGTGGAAAAATTCTGATTTTGCTTATAAATCAATTTTTCAGTTAATAACTAATTAATTTAATTTAAAAATGTAATATTGAAATAATGAAAGCTTCCGGAAATGTTTTCGGAGAAATACATTTTCCATGACAAACACTAAGAGAGGTATAGTGATGCGGTATTCGCAATACCGTATACGATTTTCGTGAAACGAAATAGACTGTTTTCAAAACAGTCATAGCTGGCTTTGTTTTCGACATACAGAATGAAAACAGAATACCCTTTGTATTATAAATACCCTCCATCGCAGTTAGATAATGACAACCATTTTGTATTATAATTTTGAAGGTACTAGTTAAGGTTATGTTTTTTTTTTAATAGAACATCCTGTATATATTTTTTATTTGATTGTACTTTGTCGACGCTTTTCAAATATATATAGTTGTCTAAATATATTATTTTAAATACATCCATTAGAAAAGAAAAGAACTTTAGCTTGTTTCTTAGAAAATACATGTTTTACAAAAAATGTGAGTGCTGTCACTAGATTCCACTGAACAAGATTCCGTTTTTTCAGCTCATTGCGATACAGACGGACAAAAAAAACACTTGCCTTTAAAAATTGAATAAAAAAATATAACACCAAACGTGCCCCAGCCGGTCAGACCTCCAGTTTCTTCTTAGAAATGCCGATTCTATGCCACGCGTTTATCCGTATTTTTCTTGTGGATTCTCATTGCAAAAAGTAAAGCTTTTGTAGGTTGTTTAGGTAATTTAGGAAGCTAGCTTGAAAGAACAAAGAAAATGACATTTTTGGCCCGTTTACTGTTATGGGATGGTCCCTAAACAAAAGTAGTTTTTATTCACTTATTCTTTTAAAATATTATATTGTTATGCATTTAGTATGTTGTTCTAGATTTTCAAATATTAGCAATAAACGTCCCTGCATTACAAGAGAAAATATTAAAAGCAAATTATACAATTATAAATTTTTGGCGAGTAGTAAAAACATTGTTTTCAAAAGTTCTGCAAATCACTATCACATTTATTATAATTTTATTGTTCTGTCGTAAAAGCTTTTTCAGATGAATAAAACAATTAATAATAATAATAATAAACTGAGGAAAATGAAATATTAAAAAAATATCTGTATAAAGTCTGATTTTCTTATTTATTTTTTTCTGTTCTATGAGCTTAACTAACCAGCTATTAAATTCTTGTAAATTCTAAGTCGTCCTTAGTGTTATTCGATAAATTATAACGGAAACCTACCCCATCCTTATAGACCACGGATGACACATTGGATATTTGAAATGTCGTGCGTTTCATTATGTCTTCAAAAAAATTGATTCAATAAAAGCGATGAAGAAAGAAATAAAGCATTATATTTAACTTTCAGGTGATGCAACACAACTAACAAATTCGAGAAGATCCAGAACAATGTTTAAGTTAAATGATTGGCAACAATCTCCGGAGTTTTCGCGGATGTTTAATTTATGAAATTTGTTTTAATTTTAATGTATGTAGTGTATTGTAGCGTTTATTATATCAATGAATAAATAATTTTGATTAGTGGTTAGTTAATTTTTTATCCAGTACCTGATAGTACCATTACAGGCGTCAAAGAACACACTAGTGAGTTATAAATTAAAACAATATCTATTTTTAATACCAAAAGCAAGTTAGCTAAAATTTTGTTTGTCGCACGCTTATATGAGGAACCCTCACTTCTCAGCCAATTTGCTAAATGTTGCTTATTATAGTATTCGCCATTCTGAACAAATATCGGTTCTCAAAAAATATTTTATATAGCGATAGACAAACAAAAAAGACGCAGTATATTGTTCGGACGGTGTGACGAATAACAGCCAACAACATATATAATTTTAACTTTAAGGTGTCAAAAATTACCTTTTAAAGTGCTCATAAATTAGCTTATTTTCAAGATACAGAACATCTGTCCAAAATGTGATGCCATAATTTTGCATACTTTTGAATTGTAACAAAAAGAAAACTCTGTAAATATTTTTTTTTCAAAAATTAAAATTCTTCTTTGTCGCTGATATCTCGAAAACTGGTCATAGGATCGATTTGGAATAAGAACTTTAAGTAGTAAAACATACATTTTTTTTTAATTGTCTAAAAACCATTTTGCTTAAGAAAAGTGGGTGGGGTTCTTTGACGCAAATATTTGTAAGAATGAATTTTTCACACACCATAAAAAATTATTAATTTTCACACATTTTTTGGGTGCGTTTTTATTTATTTTTATTTTTTTATTATTTTTTATTTTTCATGGAGGTCGTAGACTATTTAGTTGACATTAGGTGTACGCTCGGTTTACTGCCGACGTTAATAATATCTTTCAACAAGTAATGAATGACCTTCAATTTTAAATTTAAAATAAAGATAAAAATATTCTGTTTCCGCGTGATAAAATTGGCCACTTTAATTACCAATATATATAATATACCAATCACTTAGGCTAGTGGCTTATACCTAGTGACAAAGATTTCCTTTGTTAACATTAATCCGAAGGTTTTCAGTTCTAAAAGAACTTCATAAAATTGAAAAAGTTTTTAATTTTTTGTTTGATATTTTCCAAAGTGTGCAAAATGTACAGTGACGTGGAACCATCGAAAACCACAGCGAATGTGCCAAATTATGGTTTTTTTGGTTATATAAACAAATGTTTTGTTGCGTCCAGTTGCCTGCAGCATAAATAAAGATCCCAAAAGTTTTCTTTTTGTGAAGCTTTATTTAACATCCAAGATTCAATTCGGTTATCAAATTCAGTTCCATACAGTTCTAGGCTAAGCTGTATTTTGCAAGGATCAAATCTGTGTATTTTAAGATTTTTTGAAATATCTCCGAAAATATGCGATCCTCCCCCCCAAACCCGTGCGGTAAAATCCCGGAAATGTCCAAAGTGGCTCAGATCCGTGGGAAACGAAACTGACGTGGAAAAGTGACGCTTCCCGCACTTTGAATCGATGTGTAATTAGGTATTTTACAAACGAAAGTAGAAAAAATAAATTATCTGAAATTTCCAAATTCCATAGACGACGAGAAACAACAAAACTTTTATTTAGAAAACACCAAAGAGTTATAAGGGCTAATATCATTCGGTTGGTAATTGAAATTGAAGTTGTCATTCGATTATCTAGGATATATATGCCGTTAAAATCAGCCGTAAATTTCGTTGAAAATTTAAATACTTATGTGCTTGAGAAAAGAAAATTAGATTACATTTTCACAAAACTCACATTATTTATAAAATCTTATCTCTGATTGAAATATAAACTTATTTTAGTTGAAGAATCAAAAAATGCTGGAGGGACAATTTAAAAAAAATTATCACTTTGGTACTTTTAACTCCTTTGGAAGAACCTGTATAGTATTAAAGTAATTTTTAAAAATTAATGTTTGAATAATAATTTACTTCACACATCCCATTAAAACCTTGAATGACTATGTATTTTTTGAAAACGTAGTTTAAATTTTCAGAAACGAGGTTAGAAAAAACATTTTCATTCAGTTCATATATTTTTTTTATGTACGTCTCAAATTTTGAACCCGTTCTACTCTCGGTCGATATTGGTTTATATTTCCCTGATAATATTTAATACTTTATCCAAGGTTTATGATGTCTAAGCTGCCCAACCTTTGACAAACATTTAAAAGCAAAATACGACTATAACTACAAGGAAATAAAATTTATTGTAAACAAATAACATAGAAAAATGTGAATAGGACTGAGGCTTTGGATGAAATTCCATTTAACACAATTAAATTATAGCAAAAAATGTTCAGATTTTCACCGTTATTTAATGATTTATGACAGCTGTTTCTCGTACATTTAACAAATACAAAAATGCGACAATATTTCCACATCGATATATATATATATATATATATATATATATATATATATATATATATATATATATATATATATATATATATATATATATATATATATATATATATGTATGTATATATATATATATATATATATATATATATATATATATATATATATATATATATATATATATATATATATATATATATATATATATATATATATATATATATATATATATATATATATATTAAAATTTAACAACGGAGACGAATTTGAATCCAATTGGTCATTAAGTAATAGATTCGAATATCTCATTTTGTTAATCTCCATAGCTTTCCAAAAAATTTAGATTTTTGCTTTTTGATTGATTATGCAAAATATTAAAATTATCGTCAAACTTATGCATTTCTGAATTTAAATGAATGGTGTAGTTAGAATCCGAACTTTTATTGTTATGCGTCCTTTTATTTCCGTTAATAAATTTCTAAAATGTTGTATCGATATAAATTTTGGGACATGATCCTTAATAACTTAAATAACATTTATTCTAATTTAATCGAGCAAAAGGTGAAGTGGATAGAGGGAATTTTTTGATATTCATAAACAGTGTAGGTTATGGTTGATAAAGGTAACGACCACCTCTTAGTTACAAATATATGGGGAGTGAAAGTTTTATTTGGTCACCGTTACCTTAATAAGATCCTCCATTTAAGTGCTGCAGAGGTTTTGTAAGAGTAAGGAAAACGATGAGTTCTCAGGTTTTATAAAATTCATAATCGAAACGAAACCATTATCATTTTAAAATTAAAATTGTTAGTTGGTGTTTGACATAAAATTTCAACGTTTATAATGGGAGGGAATTCAGTATTAAGTGACCAAAAATGTCGAACGTTTAGCATCGCATTTGTTTATCGCTCACAATTATTATAGGACGTGAAAATGTGCCATTTTAGATTAAAAAATGTAGAATAGATAGGCTGAACTTTATTACACGGGTTCGTAGGAGTGGGAAACAGAATGGATAAGAGCTTCCTCTTAGTTGTACATGCCACTTCCTGCAATATACATTTGTATTTAGAAATTTAAGTACAGGGTGAGTCTTTCATTCAATGCGAAATCGTAGAGTTTTTAGATAACGTTTGTGTTGGTAGTAAATCTAATTTGAAAAAAAAAATGCTACCCAATAACTAAAAGATTGCTCTTACCTTTATAAACCATAAGTAAGTTCTATAACGCAAAGGAATATATTTTCTTTGCCGCTATCAGCGTTTATAAACACCAAACAAAGAGCGCCCTTTCTATATATATTTTTTGCAATATATTTTATTTGGCTTCCTTGTCATTATATTTTATAAAATGACGACTCAAAAATTTCTAACTTAATTTTATTTGGCACAAAAAATTTATTGATTAATTTGAATATACCCTTCTCCATACTGAAGCGTGTAATTTTGGTAAAAAGTTCTTAATTGTCTTATTATTTTTTTTTAATTTAAATGCTGTTTACTATTTAATCGCATATTTTCAAGATTCAGAAATATTGCTTAAAATGCGATATTCTTTCTGGTGCTATTTGTGAATTCGAAAATACATAACAATTGCCTTCCCATAAAAAGACGTCAGATTTCCCAAGTTTGCTTGTTAAAAATGTGCTATATGGGCTTTCAAGTAATATCTATTTCTAAACTTTTATAAAACGTCAATTATGTAATCATAACCTCACTTTTCAGTTGTTATTTATCTATTTGTTCTTGAAATAAGTGTGCTTGTTGAAACTGAACATTATTAGTGTGCAAATGTCAAATGTCAATTATGCAAGGAATTTTCCGGTATTGATTTGTTTGTTCTTGAAAGATGAGTGCTTAGTTTTTTTTTTTATAAATATCTAGCTAAAGTTTAGAATTAGACAGGCAAATCTTACAAACGCAAGAAATTGGGGAAGCAGCATCGCCTAAGACGGTTTTTCCAATCGTATGGATGTCCAGGTGTCCTGGTAGCTATAGAATATTTATTAGATGCTTTAATATTTCTAAAGGTTCTACGAAATAAGCTATAAAACCGCAAGAGTAAAAGTTTAAATGATAAGATTTTTTATGAATGCTATAAAAACTTTTTAAAAAAACAGAAGTAACCTACATCGAAGATTTTATAGGTAAAGTGACGAAAACGTTATGGAAGCAATATCATGAATCTTAAAGTGTTTTGGTAATTATTGGATGTCTTACACAACTCGTAACACCAATGGTTTTCTTACAAAACTATAAAAACTGTTAGAAAAGCTAACGTTTCTTATAAACCCCTTATCCGTTACATTATAATAAAACCTTAAGCTGCGAAAAATGTTGGGTTAGTTTAATATGTAAATGTGTTGGCTTAAAACGTGCACATTTTACAACTAATTTATTTAGTAAAATACCCTTTAAAAAATTGTTATTGGAAACGTTTTGTATAGTGGGATATATCCTGATTTTCTGGTGGAGGAACTTGTTACTGGTAAATATAAATGAAGCTCCGTTCGGCAATCAAATGTAACATTTCAAGAAATCTATTCAAAAATTATTTAATCTTTGTTTATATAATTTCATTTGTCCGACTACGGAGCGTTCCATAGTAGAACTAAAGAATTATCTTTTACTTTTTTACTGAGTAGTACTCTTATTAATTGCAGTTTTCGCGACCCAAGGCTACATTAAAATTAAATGAAATCTTACACCAACAGAAATGTCATTTATTTATATTTTTTAATTTCTGCTCTTTTTCCTTTTGCTAAGGTTCATGTTAATATAAAATATGACAATTATGAGAAATTGGCCCAATAGTGAAGCCAAAGAACACATATTGTGGTGTTTGAACTAATTGAATTTCATTATTTGGAGTGGTAAAGCCATATTTGAAATATGCGTTGGTAATGGTACAAGTCGCGTTATAACAAATAAAGTAGAAGTGTTTTAGAATAATTATTTAAAAAAAAAAATTGGTTTCTGTTATGATTTGAGGATCCGTGTCAGCAAGTAGAGTGGGAAAGTTACACCTTGTTAAATATAGTAAGTGCATTAGTCTGCTGCTAAATAACTTAAGTCTGCTGCTAAATAACATAATACCCTAAATTAAACAAAAGCGTTTTAACAATATTGAACCATGTTCCAAAAAGATTTTAAAATAGACGTCAAGTAGTCAGATCTATCGCCGATTGAACCTTGTGGTATATCCTGAAGTAAAAGCTACAATCGAATCCCGCAAGAATCGTTCCAAAATTGAGAATCCGAAATTTGGAACAGTTTTGCACCAGATGACTGCCTAACATTAATTCAGACTAAGGGAAGACCACAGGCGTCGAAAGGAGGAGCAGTAAATCATTGCCATATGAGATTTTACAATATAATATTAACCATTTGATAATTACAATAGAAATATTCAAATTAAACAATTCTGACACATTTTAGAGAAAATGCAAACCACATATGATGAATTTCTTCTTCTTCTTCGAAAATCTACAATGCATAATGAATAATACTAAGCACAAATACACAAAACGAGGAATAGTATACTCGTTTATGAAATAAATACATCTTCGATTTGTTTACCTACACATGAAATGGCACTTCATCCGCCCAGTTCATTCCAATTTACACAGTATTGCTGCATTTTTGCTATCAGTCTTTGTAACAGCAATATCAAAAAACACCATTTCAGTTTCATGAAGTAACTTTTCTCACAAAAATAAGCAAAAGTAGAAGTAGTACAAGACATCTCATCGCCGCGAATCCAAAGGTTAGAATCTCTCCTATATTCTTTCAAGCGTTTATTCGTTGTAACGTTGCCATATTAAAAAAGACATTTCTTACAAACCATATTGTTATCATTGTTATTTAAATTTAAATTTATTAAATTAAATTGAGATTTCTAATTTACCATGCTTTTAAATTCATAAAAATATTATTATGTACATGTATATATTGGAGAGGAGGTTTGATGGCTATGGTGCATGTCCGCGACATTGATATCATGTCCAGTGCGATCTCGGTCTCACTATTGGAGGCGAGGATGCATTTCATCAAGCCAAAATTTATATTCGATGGACCCACACGACCCCGAAGGGAATATGCTTATCAACATGGTCGCAAATAACATTTACTCCAATGGTTTGAAGGGCAAAAAACAATGGGGATGCGCAGTGTACTTAACATTGTGATGGTTACGGGTAAGATGTCCAATGTGCTGCAGACGGAGCTCGCGAGCACTAAAGTAAAAGAAATCACCGGGCGCAATGTAACTGGTAAAAAAAATCTATACAGATAGCAGACAAGCAGTTCTGGTACTTCACAGACCACGTTTTATGTCAGAACTAGCACTAGAATGTCACCGCGCCCTCGTTGCCGCTATTGAGCTATCCAAACGAAATAGCAGCCAAATAATACTTGACTATGTCCATGAAAAAGCTACGTACAGATATTCTTACGGATTATTGCTTACTTAACAAACACTTATGCAATTTGGGTTTGAGTAGCAAAGTATACAAACGAAATAGCAGCCAAATAATAGTTGACTATGTCCATGAAAAAGCTATGTACAGATATTCTTACGGATTTTTGCTTACTTAACAAACACTTATGCAAGTTGGGTTTGAGTAGCAAAGTATACAAACGAAATAGCAGCCGAATAATACTTGACTATGTCCATGAACAAGCTACGTAGAGATTATTCTTACTTATTTTTGCTTATTTAACAAACACTTATGCCAATTGAGTTTGCGTAGCAAAGTATACAAACGAAGTAGCAGCCAAATAATAGTTGACTACGTCCATGAAAAAGCTTCGTACAAATATTCTTACGGATTATTGCTTACCTAACAAACACTTATGCAAATTGGGTTTGAGTAGCAAAGTATACAAACGAAATAGCAGTCAAATAATACTTGACTATGTCCATGAAAAAGCTACGTACGTATTAATCCGGATTATTGCTTACTTAACAAACACTTGTGCAAATTGTGTTTGCGTAGCAAAGTATACAAACGAAATAGCAGCCAAATAATAGTTGACTATATCCATGAAAAAGCTACGTACAGATATTCTTACGGATTTTTTGCTTACTTAACAAACACTTATGCAAATTGAGTTTGCGTAGCAAAGTATACAAACGAAGTAGCAGCCAAATAATAGTTGACTACGTCCATGAAAAAGCTACGTACAGATATTCTTACGGATTATTGCTTACCTAACAAACACTTATGCAAATTGGGTTTGAGTAGCAAAGTATATAAACGAAATAGCAGCCAAATAATAGTTGACTATGTTCATGAAAAAGCTACGTACATATATTCTTACGGATTATTGCTTACTTAACAAACACTTATGCAAATTGGGTTTGAGTAGCAAAGTATACAAACGAAATAGCAGCCAAATAATACTTGACTATGTTCATGAAAAAGCTACGTACAGATATTCTTACAGATTATTGCTTACTTAACAAACACTTATGCAAATTGGGTTTGAGTAGCACCACCACATGCGAACATGTGACCTGGAAGACGACGCAGTTGGACACAATCTGTGAGAATTTGCTAACATCTCGTTTAAGCTTGAAACCATGCTTGGCGTATCATGTTTATGCCCAACGGTAATCAGAAGCCTTGCTCTTGGATCTGTCATCGCCTACGTGGAATCACTAGGTTTAATGTAAAGTCGAGGAAACACAATGGGCCTGTTGAGGCCTAAGCGCAGGGTATCCTTCACCACTTGAAGACAGATATTCTGTATGTGTCTGTGTGTCGGTAAAATGTCCCGGCGAGGTCTTGCACTGGCAACATTCTCTCAGTCCGTTAAGATATTTTGCGTCATATTAAAATTATTATATGGTCAAAGACGTATCAAATCAGTAATCAGTCAAAATGGAAATGTAATTTGGTTTCATTGATTTTTATTAATAGAAAGTTTTTTCGTAAAATATTTTTCCTCTGTTAGAAAACAAGTAGCATTTTAGGCTAATGTTGTATGTCGTCAGTAATACATTTTAGTTTTTAAAAGGTAGTTTTGATAGTTGGGCCAACTTGGCTGAGACAGGGCTTGTATATAGAAACCACTGTGACTCGTCCGGCTGACAATGTGTCGGCCAGCACGAAAAGGATCAACGCCTCCGCCCGTCTCGGGTCCGTCGGATCGTGCGGCGGCGGCGGGCGGCGGCCCTTTTAATACCCGCCCGCGGCGGACGGCAGCATCCTCTCTTCTCTCAGCGAAGATTTTGTATTCCGAAACTCGTCGCCGAGGAGGCTCACGAGTCTTGTCGCGATCGTCTCTGCGAAAGCTTCACGCGTGAGAGAGCTTTTTCACTCCGCTACGTCGCGTTTCAGTGATTTGCGCGCGAACTTTATCGAGTGCCACGAGAAGTGAAGAAGAACGATGGAATTATTATTCGGCGCCCGACGTTACTTGTAAGTTCCGTTTGCGCGTTTTTTTTTTCCGATCGAGACTAAGTTTCGGATTTTTATACTACGTTCCGAAACGTATCCGAAGTTTTAAATTTCAGTTTTGGTTATTAAAACTCGTAACTCGGTAGTTAACGAACGTCGCGCAGTGGAAGAATATAATGTGGAAGGGTTACAAGTTGAGCGTAATTGGATCCTACAGGAAACTCGCCATTCTGTAGGAGAACTGATGTCGGTGTTTGGCGCTCACACATAGGGTATTTTTCAAAAAACGTGCATTTTTAAAAACCCGCTTTATTATGAAAACATTTTGAAAACAACTGTTTGCCCAAAATTGTATTAGTTCATTACTGATAATTATTTTTTTTGTATAGCTTGATATTTGGTTCTGATCTTATTGGAAAAAGATGGAAGTTTTAAACTTTGAAGAAATTGGCTTTGGACAATGCCACAGAAGACAAATGCGTAGAGGTAGTATAGCGATTTTAACTGTAAGGACGCCACGTTGTCGTTTAACCTCTCAAATAAATTTCATAGAATCTACGAGAAATGCGTAATCGGCTACCTTTTTCTGGGAATCACTGACTGTGTGTGGTTTTTGTTAAGTTCATATAACGTTAGTTCTTTCGTTTCTTTCGTCCTTACGTTCTGGGAATAATTCGAAGTATTTTTCAATTATTCAAAAATATACAAGGTATCCCATATATATAAATCAAATTTTCTATTGATAACTATCAAATTATATACCTAATGTTATCTTTAAATTATTAAATTCTGCGTAAAAAGTTGCATTGATAAAGTTTTGATAGAAACAAACAAATCAATAATAAAAAAGTTACAGCGATTTTTTAAAAATGCACATTTTCGAAAAACATTCTATTCTTCTGACACTTATACCATCATGTTTTTTTAGGAAAGTCAAGCTTCAAATACCGACATTAGTTTTTGGCTATCTACTTTAGAAATGGGAGTTTCCCATTCAAAGGTTCAATTTGGCCCACCCTCTACACTACATGACATTTTTACTACGTACCTCCGTTATTAATAAAGCTAACGTATTGTGGCTTTCGTGACCAAAGTCTGTTTTTCCATGAACGAAGAGATGAAACAGAAATGTTAACGCTATCTTTTTAGTTACAGTGTGATTTTTAAAATTTTGCATAGAAAACCTTGTATTTATTAGAACTTTTTAAAAATATGTAGCCCAAGAATTATTTCAGTTACGAAAATGAGTAGGTCTTGGAAAAAAGCTGTACGTTTTTAGGGTTGTCGAAATATTTAGTTGTCAGTCATGACAGTTCTTAATTATTATTTAAAATTTCTCCTTTTCATTCTGCTATGGATCGTATTATCATCACTTCAGAAGATACGCCAAAAAAGCCTAAATTTGCCGAACACCAGAAAAAAACAAAAATGGAATCAGCATTTTTTTTTGTGTATCTTCGGAAATATTTTGGTTTCCTCAACAGCACGTTATTAACCTTTAAATTTTGGTTAGTAACTTTTTTCTAATTTACCCATCTTCGTTTAGAATATTCCCGTGATGGACATCCTTATCTTGAACGCACTGTTTTTTATATTATACAAGAAATATTTCCAAGGAATCTAAAAAAGTAATAATATATAGTGTTTCATTTAGAACAAGCAAGTTGACAATCACTGCCGGTATATCCGGATGTGTCGCCATCTTGAAAATATTTTAGCTGGATTGACCCCGTCAACGTCAAATTTTCAAATATTTGCTCCTATAATAGATTGACCAAGTTCCCGGTGGGACAGCCTGTATATGCTTTGTATTTTTAATGAAACGATTAAGATATATTATTTAAAGACATACTGGTCATAGATTGGCGCTGGTCCAGCATTTAGAAGTTCGTATTCTGTTATGTGGGCCGATATTCGATTTTTAACATTTGATGTTTAAATTACATCCTTCGCATAATGCCCCGAAAACTAAATCGTCCGTTCAGGATGGAACGATAAGACCTTTCGTTATTTGTTGTTGCGTCGAATCCCGTAAGGCAACACAATGCATAGGAAATAAGATGTTCCGAGCTTCATCAAATCAGAAAATTGTGGGAGGTCTTAGAAGAGGCGTGCAAGAAGTTCGCGGTACGTTAATAATATCGCAAAAAAAAATTCAAAAGCTACGGGCGTTTATTTCGATTTTTTTTTTAATTTTATCGTGGTAAAGGAAAGCTCTCGTGATGCATTTCTCATGGGTCGGGCATTTGTTTAAGTAGCATAAAGGCGCGAACTGAAGCGCTCTTGAGTTGTGGGAACGACCAAAAAGAACATCAAAACATTTACTAAAGCCGTTCCACTAAATCAATACGTTCGTTTCGAATTACAACATTCATTTCATACTCTTTTTATTATATGAGTCTGCGTCCTTGGACACCCCCACTAAGATTTTTCGCAGCCTTTATAGCCTGTACAGCAAACGTCGAATAAATAAATTTTATAATATTGCATCCAAAAACGTTTGAGTTACTTTACTAACCCACTAATCCGCATTTTGCGTCATTTTCTTTCTAAGCAGCGATATTCACACACTTAACTCCTTTTTGCCTGAAGATTTAAGAATATGGACATATTTTGAGAAAATACTGCCATAAAAATGCCGCATCCAAAATTATTAACGATCTCATCAAAATTTGTTTCATAGTTGCTTCATAAGTTCATGTATTATCAGCATAGAACGAGACTCTATTAATCTACTAGCTCTATGCTTTATCTATGAAAGCTTTCTTGTTGGTTATTTCAGATTTTTTTAAAAAGTTTTGTAACAATCTTAAACTCTATCAAATACCTTTGAAAAATCTATATATCTACTATCCACGTGAAAATTATTTTCAAGGGCAGTGTCTTCTTGGTAATTTAGAAGATTCTTAAATATTTAACAACTCTTGTTATTTAGGTTTTACTAAAGCTAGCTACCAAACCTCTAATTATTTAGAATGATTTGGTTTGCGACCGAACATCAGATTAACATATGAATTACCATACTAAATTAATCTTCTTAAAAATTATTATTGGCGGCGGTACCGTCGCCTTTATAATGCGGAACTGCCGAATTGCCTTAACGTGTATCATCAACCTCTTCGTATTAATGAGCGTTAAACATAAAGACCTGATAACGGTTTGTTGCAGATATTTTTGAAGCAGATAATGCAGAAATTACTCAGTCACTATCAAACATCTATTGCTAAAAAAAATATGGATGCAACCTAAATCTATTTTATATAAAAATCAACGACTACTCCTAACCTTATCAGTGATAAAGAAAAAGCTCATAAAGGTATAAAAATACTAAGCTTTATTTATGGATGCCACAGATGAAAACTTCACAGAAGATATCAGATCTTTCTGGTCTTGTTTTCATAATAATAAAAAAATTCAAAATCAATGTTTTGTAGTAACAGTGGTGCCTCTACTAGTAAATATATATTACATCTTTTTGGTACATATTTCTTTAGCGTTTTTGAAGGTTCAGGTACTCCGCCTCTAATAAATAAACATGATTATGCTATATCAAATGGAAAAGTAGGACTAAGCAGGCCCTTTATGTATCCTACTCAACATACTTTTCAGTTATTCTCTTTCTATTGGTAGTTCCCAACATCCTGGATTCATAAATCAGATGAAAAAAATATGGTTAATAATTATACGCCAATTTAGTTGCTGAACCATTTTGGAAAGCTACTGGAGTCAATTGGAATTGAACAACCGTTTCTTATTATTGAATCTCATAAAGATAATCTGATAATATAAGCAATCGCGGATTTATCCAAGGCTTTTGATAAATGGAGAACATTGGTTTCCAAGGTTCCATTTATTTAGAGGTCTTACTTAGGTACTAATACATAATTTTGTGTATCACTGGCTCAATCTTCACCTTGCTATAGTCCTTGCTTCAGTTCAAGTTTTGTCTCTTTTTTGCAGAGTCTCAGCTACACTGCCGCCCCATGTTTGGCTTGGTCTTCCACTTTAATTTCTTTGCTGTTTTTTGCTCCCCATAATTGTTTTAATTATCTTATATTTGCTGATCATCATAGCTATACTCACCAACTTAATTGACTTGTTTTTATATATTTCATTTCGATTGTACTTATACTTCTAAGTCTGTTCCTATTTTCGTGTTTCTCATTTTGTAAGTTTTGGTGACTTCTTTAACTCTTCTCCAGGACTTGAATTTTCCGTTTTCGGTAATTAGTCAGTATCCACGATCCAAATGTTAAAATTTGTTTATACATATTCTCGAAGAAATTTATGTTTGTTTTGTATATCTTTGTGTTCATTTCCTACCACCATTACTTTTCTCATAGTTTTATTCAGTTTCTTTCCAAAATCTTATTAAACACTCGTTCGGATACTTTCCCTTGACATTGTTGCATAGTTCTTTATAATTTCATGAATAAAGTTTGTGAAGAACTTAGACCTCTTCATTGTCCTAATTCTGCTTTGAATTGTCTGCCTTTAAAATATTATAAGCTGCATCAATCTTATTCTGAAAATAATTTTCATTGTAGGCATCAGCAACGCGAGATAAACTTCAACCTCTATATCGTCTTAATTGTACAATGTCAGTGCCACTATTAACTTAAATGTTGCTTGTCCTTTGAGTTGGATAATTAAAAAAAAAGTAGCAATCTGGATAGGAGCTTTACCTACTCTATATATGCCTACAGCTTGTTGACTACATTTTCCTTTATTGTAATGATTAAAGAGAAGTCGATGAGGAAAGTTGCCTGGGCCTCTAGAAATTTAGTTCTTTTTCCTAAGCATAGTTTTTTACTTCTCGTCGGCATGCTCCAATATAACCCACAATCAGCAAAAATTTAATAACAAGAAACTATTCATTTGGTGCTTCTACTAAGAATTTATCTATATCCATTTTATCCAATACCCTCGATTTATTTGGTTTTTATTTTAGTGATTTTTTCTTTACGTAGTAGCAGCGGTCAGCACTTTTCAAAAATTTGTTCGTATCGTGTTCGGGACTT